GTAAATGATTATTTTAATTGAAGGACTTTCACAATGTAATGAAACCAACCTATATCTTGGAGTCTACTGCATGCATTATTAAACAAATCTCTGATATTAACAGAAATTAGAAAGTGTCATTCTAGGCCATCAAAAAGTTGCCCAACGTCTCTTTTTCTAATGCCTTTTTGAAGTTTGTGCACTCTCTACACTATCAATATTCAGACCCATCATTCCTAGCTGGTGCAGTTTCATCACCTTACTCACTCTTAGGAATTTTATCAATATACCTGTGACAAATTCCAAGTCTACATTTTATTAATGAAGCTGCATCCAAATACTACTGTGTCATCACCAAATGACAAATCACCCCATCTCTGACGTTTAGTCTTTGTACTCAAGAGAAACCTACACAATATCTTCAAAAGACTATTCAGGGAGCAAATAATTCATAAACTTACTACAGTAGCATTAGAGTGTTGTTGTAGCTGTAGTCCAGGAAATATACAAGGCAAGGATTTTTTTTGAGATATCTTTTACTGGAACAATTCTATAGCTTTGAGATGGTAGACAAGCTTTTAGGCACAAAGTGCCCTTCTTCAAGTCCAGGAAAGAAGAGAGTTCTCCTACTAGTATTTGCATCTCAGCACACCTCCACTGCTACCATAATCAACATCCCCAACAATAAAATCATCAGAATCTATAGTTCCTATGCACGTCTACCATAGAATACAGTATAATCTCCTCCAATGCACCAAATACCCTGTGAGAAATTATGGGAGTGAAACTAAACAAGGCTATGAACCAAAATGAATATTCTGACCAGAACAAGGTAAAGGACAGAGAGACACAAAGAGCAGCAGGAGAATACTTTTCATAGAATAATCACTCACTTTCTGACCTCACAATCCTTATGCTCAAGGGAAATCTATAAAACACCTTCAAAAGATATTTGGGATCAAATATTCATAACCTTACTGGACACTAAAAATTATGGACTAAACATAGACAATTGTGCTGTGGCTCATTACAATCTACGTGCTACCTCTGCTAACCTCTGCACTGCACAGGCAATACCAACCCTTTTCCCTTCTGAATGGTCTTGCCCTCCCACAGTTAGGTTATCGATTTTACTGCACTTCTCTTGCTTAGAAGCCACTCCAGCTAACTTTGCTCTTTACAGCCTTCTCCTAATTCTTTCAGTGATCGTTTTTCCTTTACATATGGAATTATACACAAAGGTGTTATTTAGCACAAGCTGTGTCAGCTTCTTTCCCAGACCTGAAGGTACTTTGCACACAAAAACTTATCTAACATCTCTCCCAACAATACAGTTGGTGCTATAAAAGATATCACCACAAAAATCCTTGCCTCTCATGCAACTTTATTGGGCACTAAATACTGAAGACTAAAGGCAGATAATGGTTTTATGGTTCATTACAATTCACCTGCTCCCTCTGCTAATCTCTTTGTAGTCAACAGGTAATAATGAGCCTCTCCTCTTCTGAATGATCTTATTTTTTTACATAATTAGGTTTTATCTGCTTCAGCCTCTTGATCTGTAGCTACTTCTGCTAACTATACTTTGCTCCAAAAGTATATTGCCCTCTTCTCCCTTTTTAAGTGACTATTTTCATTTACATAATAGAGTTAAGCAAAACAACTGTCCCCCCAGTATTTAGCTTAAACTCTATTCGTTTCTTTCCCGTACCTGAGGAAGGGCATTTTGTGCCAAAAAAGCCAATCTAGCATGAATCCCAACTATGTAGCTGGTCCAATAAAATATATTACCATACAAACCTTGCTTCTCATACATCTACACATAGTTCAGTAAGAGGCTGTTACTTAAATAAATAGGTTTACAAGCAAGCTAAAAATACTGTTTACGTAGGTGTTAAACGCTGTTTCCATCTCACCAAAGCTCACACAATATACACATCTCTAATTAAATCAGTCTACAAGGTGCAAAACTACCCTGTCTTCCATTTGACTTCAGACAAACACAGCTACCTACGACCCTCTGGGTCTGATTTTCCACTTGTTCAGTCTGCAATCAATGGGAGTTCTGCCTGAGTGTAAGAGATAAATCCAGCTCCGTGCTTTTCAGAGGCAAGGGAGCCTCATGCCCCAAATAATTCACACATTCAATATATATGTTAATAATCCCTATTATTTGCAGTTGTATAACTTTTATAATGAAAAGATCTCAAAGCATTTTACAGACATTAAAGCTAATAAATGAATCCTCATAGCAGCACTGCCATGAGGTAAATATTAGAACTGGGGAATCTGAGGTGCAAAAGCTTAACTAACTCGCTCCTGTAACACGGCAAATCAGTGACAGAAACAGGAGCACACTTTGGAAATTGACCTACCTACCTTAATCTTTCTTTTGAGACTGGCAAGTGAGATGACACTCCATCACTTTAGTACATTTGGACAAAACCATTACAGGTTTGGTCACTGGCACTACTAGGTAGCTTGCATCACAAATTGAGGCTTTGTATAATAAAAAAGCCAATAAATACATGTTTCAAAACACCTAGTAGAAATGTTTTCACAACAATTCAAACATAAAATAGCTTCCAATGATGAGATCACAGCTGAGAAGACCACTGTCAGACTGATTAAACTTGAAAAGTAATGATTTTATGCAAAAAATGCAGGAGAGTTTGATGGATTCTTTGTCCCAATACCAGAATTTGTCTCTCTAAATGACAGCTCTCTTGTATAATTAACAGACTCATTAATTCAATGCCATTTAATCAGGTCTGCTTCCATTACACTGTAACAAATGTCAACTACTGAGAGATTACAGAAGAGAATTAAGGCATGTCAGTATGTGAATTATTAAGTAACGCATCCAAGGCTTCTGCCAGGGCAAACACAGGCCATTAATAAGTTTGTATAGTGCCAAGCACAATGAGGTACTAGCCTGGCTAGCATCTAGGTGCTATAAATTAGCAGTAACCACATAAAGATCACATGGTTGATGTGGATGATCAAAATGGAAATATCCTGCAAAATCTGGTTAGGTTAAAATTATATATCCAAAAGGTTTTTAAAACCTCAAACACCTCTACTCTAATAAAACGCTTTTCAATAGTTAGTTGATCCTTTTATATGCATAAAGCTATTTCTTCTGTCAGCATTTTGCTCCTTACGTGCAACTCAAGACTGTATATGGTTAATAAAGTTATTCTGTTATATAACCAAGGTAATTACACAATAGTAATGGGTTCAGAGGCCTGTTTGTGGATTATCAAATGAATACACAGCAGTGCTCTATTTAATCCAACCAATGTGATGCACTAAGCTCTTAAATCTTGATCAAATCAAGCAAAGTAACAAGTTACCATTTCCTCCACCAACAGAGAATCTAGAAAAGAGATGAATCACATTCTAAAGAGAGCACTATCTGGTCACAGAAGCTGAAGTAAAAGTGTTTTTGTACTAAAGGTTATTGAACTAATATCAACCTAGATGTTCCCACTAACTGCATAGCTTTAGTAAGCCTTCTCTCCTGCCACCTCTCCAATTACCAGAGGTAGTCTTCCTTTCCCAACAAACCACATCTTATGTAACATGGGGCCTCTTTAGACATTCAGGCAAAGGCATGACAGGATCTGACGTATCATCCACACAGTTGTGCCTCCAGCCATGTCACACAGGCATGGCAGGAAGCATGACTATGGGATCCAGCATCAGGTCCTATCACGTCTTATTCCCAGTAGAGGGAGAGCACAGGATTGCAAGTAACAAGCTCCTGTAGCTGAGTCCCGTAGTTAACAGGATTCACAGCTGTGGCAGTACCCCCTGACTGCCAGGACTAAGACTCCCATGAGTCATGGCGTCCTGCCAGGACTCAGGATCTCACAGCTGCAGGGCACTGCTGGGAGGAAGAGTCCCCTCAACTGTGGGACTCCCAGCCCTGGCTGTGCAGGGTATGTCTGTGCTGCACGTGCAAATTAGAGCTAGATAGAAACCAGCTTTAAATTAGTTATGCATTATCCAGCAATAACTTCATAGCTGGTTGGACCTTTTTAAGGCACGACAATTAATCTGCACTGTGTAGCCAGTCTAAATTAACTGTGAGATTAACCCAGCAATTATGTGACGCATTTAACATGCAGAGGAGGCCATGGACCACCTCCTCAAGGTAGAGATTGCAGTTCTCCCAAAGCACCATCCATACCAGTGATGCCCTATACAAGTTAATAACAAGGGCTGAGCTGCAGTTGCTACCTATATCATAGAGAAAATAAGTGTGCTTTAAATAAGGTTGGCTACTTCAGCTTAAAATAGTAGTGAAGAAAAGGAAACTTGGATTTTCATTTGGGTTACCAGCTTTACTTAGAGCTGCTAAACAAAAACATGTGCACAAATGTAATAGTTTTATTGGTAGTGAATAATACTGGTATAAGTTATTATGATGTTACCATTGCATCTGTGAGCTCTCATTGTGGTACAAGTGTAGCAAAACCATTGTAACTTTAACCTGGATTGAAATAGTGTTAAGGTTACAGCGGTTTGGCTACACTTGCACAACTATGAGAACATGCAGAGGTAATGGTTATATCATGAAACCAATGCATACTTCAGAGTAGGAACTCTATACAAGAAGTTAGTTAATGCACAGTCCAAGCTGCACTGGTCTGTGCTGTTATTCTAACCTGACTCACATTGGCCAACCCAAGTTAAAAACGTACTCTTTCTTTTTGTGAAGACCTACCCTTTGAATTAAGAAAGCATTGAAGAAATGGAGAATTACAATATTAAAGAAACCTGCAAATATACAAAGAAAATAAAGGGATATTCAGCTTAGACTAAGGAAACTGGTGTTGTTACATCTGATTCCTGCATTATATATCTCCTTATTAAAATTAATAGTTCTTTGAATCATCTATGATTCTGAAAAATACTGTGGTGAAACATCCCATTTTATAACATGACCAAAGTTCACCATCCAGCTTAGTTTTCTTCCTTCTTAATCATTACATAACATGTCATCCTGCATTTACCTTTATGTGAAACTCCAGGTTTTCATCCATGGAATAGATGTGATCAAAGATGTCATGTGCAATTCTTGGAATGATGCCCATTAGCTGACAGTCATGTAGCTTCCCCTAAAGATACAAAGACAAAGTGTAACATCAAAATGGTATTTCATGCACAAGTGTAGAAAAAAGCTTCTCACAAACAGATCTTTGCTTAGTGGACCCCTATGAACCTGTCCTCTGATCTCCAAAGATTTGCCTTGTACAGATGCACACAAAAGGTGGCAGAGTGACCCAACATGTTAGCATTCTTCCCCCTACAGAGTACCTACATGTTTTGGCAGCTCCTTGCATTTTGTGCATCATGTTGTCCTGCTGACACACACTGTCACTCTGTGATTTAACATACCAAAGTAAAGACAAAAGCACTTAAAATGCTCTTCCTGTTTGAATTCAGACATTTGAAAACCTATAGGAGAGGAAAACTCCTAAACCATTCATCAGTCTGTTTTATCATGTCAATAGTGTTGACAGCTAGAAAAGAAATGCTTGGGATGGAGATCTGCATTTCAATAATATGATGCTGTTTCATTTTCCTGGACCCTAGTGGCAGGAAATGCTGTGTTGCAGACATTACCATTCTCTGTATTAATGCCTGCTGCCAGCTTTCTGTGCCCTAAGCAGCTGCACTGAATATTAAATAAAAAACAATTTTCCCGACTGCACAGCATCCTTCAGTTTTCTCCTCTACAAAGAAGTCAGCTTTATAAATAAGAAACTGAAATGCATAGTAACAAAAATTAAATTATCTTAAAAACCGAGGGGGGGGGTTGGAATCCTTCCATGAATATAGCAGAATGGTAACAGCTAGGAAAAATATTTGAATTTTAAAAGAACAGAAAAAGGTGTTTCATATCTTTTGTAGTCATTCTCAGCCATAGTAAAAAATGGCCTGATGATGCAATATAAAGATTTTAGGGAGTAGTTATTTATTTATTAGATGTATATATAATTGAACTGAATAGACTTGAGATGATTTTAAGAATTCCCAAAATCCCATGGCAACACCAGAAAACAGTATGTTTTTGTATTTTGCCCTGTTAGGGTATAAAGAGGAGTGAAAACTGAGTAATGTAAGTATTACCATAGGCCACAGGGTACCTTTCTAAATAAAGGTCAGGAGTAAAAACGTGTAATTTGTAAAAGCAATACTAAAAAGAAAAAAGAACTGAATTCAAGTTAGAGAGAAAAGTCTACTTAATAGCTCTGTGTATACTGCATATATTTCTGACTCTTACTGGTGTGCAATGTACAACTGCCCTAGCAATTAGTCAGCTTTTATTACTGTTCTCAGATAAAGTGCCTGTGGACATCATTGGCTGCATTTAAATGTACTGGGGCTGGTTGAGTGGCAGCCAGCTTATAAGCATTAAGCCAGGATGAAGAAAATTAAACATGAAAAACTGGCACATTCTATATATAGCTGTCCATCTAAATTTAAAGCAGTCACTAGCTTTCTGCCCTTGAATTACTGATCTTGGGAGAAAACTGTCAGTTACACTGTTAATTCCTCCCCCTATAAAACAGAGTTTAGATATATTTGAGCATGAATATTCTACTTATAATAAAGTGTGTATATGTTTGATGTTCATACAAAATTACCATTAACTATACAATGTCTGACATCCCACCCACCTGCTCAGAAAAGCCTACATTACACAGCAGAGTGGTTTACAGCCATCAGTGAAAAGGAAAATGGAGGTGATAAATTAACTGTTTCAGAATCCCTGATGGGAAAAAAAAATACCCTTGCATTACCTTGCCTACATCTGTGTCATTATGACATGCTATTACTGAATTGAAGCTGCAGTATAATTTTAATACAATTTGTTCCTGCCTCTTAGATCAGCCTGCAACCAGCTTTGCTAGCATAACTGCCTATCTGCTAGTACTGCCTGGAGACTACATTCTCCAACAATGTGATGGAGTTCATTACAAAACTAGAATGTGGGCATTCACTTCATATTTATTCACAGAACCAGAATGCCACTGACAATAACTGCTATTTTTTCTCAAAGAAATGACAGCATAAAAACATAAAATACATGTTCCCTTCTCCTTGATAAGCTCTGCTCTTACGCTATTATCGTCTCCTTATGCAGAAAATAAAGGGAATAAGAAAAAAAAAGAAATAAAAAAATACAATTCAAAGTCATTGTATACCACTTATAATTATCTTCTAGGGACAGACCCTGTTACCGCTGAAGTGAGTGGAAGCAAGATCACATTCACTGGCCTACGGAAAAAAAGAAATCAAAAGGTGCAGCATAACCAGCGGTTACACTGCTACACTGAGATGCACTGAACCAAGAGGAAATTGTTTTACATCACTATAAATGGAATTTCACTAAAATCTGGAGTTCATTGAAGCAGGACCCATTACATTTCCACAATAAAGTTTCATGTCAGTGTTGGAAAGCAAGAAAAACCAACACGGCCTATTCATACAAAAGTTACAGTTACCGAACTTCCCCTATTACAGCTGTAACCTCAAAAATGCTTCGGAGAGTTGTTCTGCTATCACCATGCTGACAGTGCAGTTAGTCAATTCATTGAAGCCCCAAGATGGCAAATGCAAAGCTCATTAAAAACTTTTATATTACTCAGATCATCAATCCCTACATTTTAACACAGCAGACAAGCAGTGGCTAGTGATGTGTAACATTTGAAACAAAGTTTTTTTTCCTGTTTCAGGATGATGAAATAATAATGTCAACCTAACAGAGGACTCTGCTATTGAAAAGTCTGGAGTGAAGTCAAAGCCAATTAAGGAATCAACGAAGTGTAAGCTTGTGAACAAAACAAAAAATGTAGCTACCCATATACACGACACCCATGTCTCTTCCTGTGCAAAAATTACATGTGCAAGACATGGGTTTCCCAGAGCTCCATTGTACTATCTTGTCCCATGAAGGCTTAACACTAATATTTTTAATCATTTCACATTTTGTAGAAAATCCTGCATAATGGCTTTACCTTGAGGATTTTAAAAATTTCTTCAATTTTAGAATGGCTTATTTCTTCCCAAAGTACTGTAATGGCATTACAAGAGGATGCTGGGCTAAAAGGAGGATTAAAACTGAAAATGGATTTTAATGTGACAGATTTCTCTCTCAAAAAAAAAATTACAGAAACCCTTCCTTTTCTACAGTACTTCTCTTTATCAGAGCCTATAATTCTAAATATGAATTGGCTTTAAGAAATCCTTCCCCACACTGTGGAAGCAGTAGCTCATGCCCTGCAGGCATTTTGATTTAATTATGTTCTGAGCTGGTGGATTACTCAGTCTTTGCACCATCTGTATGGATTGAGCTAGTGACTCCCCCGCCCTCACTCTCCAAGAAGGCAAGGGCAGATTTAATTAGACACAAGGCATCAGTTATTACATCCCTCCCTCAGTTTAGGAGTTACTGTGGCAATTGGACAGCAATTCCACAATGGCCAGTCAGGTTAAGAGAACATCATGCTCTCTCTCCCTTCACCGTTAGGTTAGGTAGGTCACCTCTGCTATTCATGAAGCAAGTCTGCTAAGCTAATTAAAGCAAGCCTCTTCCTCCTTTTATGGTTCCTTTTTTTCCATGTCCTTTAGTAATACATGTCGTAGGCCTTCCATTTATAGTTGGCAACTTAAGTTGAAAATATGCTGGAAAAAATTATCCAGCATATTTTCAACATAAACTGATTTCGGAAGGTTCTTTCTGTAAGACAGTCTCAGCCCAGTACTTAAACAGCAAGCTATGTAAATAAAAGCCATCACATAATTAAATGTTCGATTTAATCTGCTGATTTTTAGCAAGAGATTAAAATATCATCTCATTGGATCTACTTATAGGCTGACAAGGGTTAGGGCAAAATGCCCTTGGGCTCCAGATCACATTATACTTTTCTCCATGTGCTGGGGACAAGGATACACTTAGGAGTTCGGCAGTTAGCTTTGCATTGCATTCTTTGAGAGCAACGTCTCAGGAGCTCAGCTATTAATGCTGCAATGTGAGTGAGTGGGGCTCCCAGGAGAGGATTGCAAATGAGAAACAGAAATAGAAGCATGAATTTTCAGAATGGCTCATTCAAGACAACACAGACCCTCAGCATTGCTCTTGTTTTGGGATTAACAAATCCCACTCAGATACTTTAAAAATACACACATACCTAACTTGATACATTAAGTCTGGAAAAGCTATTGTTGACTTGTTAATTCACTGTTTTTTATTTTAGCAACTTATCAATAAAACATTTGAAAGCGTTCCTGAGGAATGTCCGCAGTCTAAGAGGTATTCTGAACAAAACACATCACTGTCACTCATGTATTTACCACTTGTCTAGAAAGCTGAAATGTACTTCTGGTATACATCTGACTCGGAAGCAGCTGGTCCTGTCTGATTCTTAAGATGCTACTATATTAAAACATTTTGTTCCTTACCTCCATTGTATGCGTTTTTCCAGAAGATGTTTGTCCATAAGCAAAGATTGTCCCATTGTAGCCTTCAAGGACATCTGCAGAAAAGAGAAAAAATTTCAAAAATGCACATCGTTGTCTTAACTACTGAAAGATCATGAAAATAGTATTGAACAACTCACCATTTAAACCATTTAAAGTTCAATGAGAAAATAAAGGGTTTGGGGAATGAAGAAAGAGCAGATGGCTGCACTGAGTTTCTTTGTTAATGTAAAAATAGAATTTCTTTACAATAAGATGTAATTTAGATAATTAGAAAATAATTTGTGCCTTTATTAGTTTCCTGAGGAAAAATCCTAGATGCTAGGTACCATACAATATATTTATTGGAAATGGAATGGAGAAAATTAAATTTATCTGAATTTTAAAGCACAGAAGAAAATGTAATTTATATTTATGTCCAATATCTATTTCTCACAACAATTGAATTGACAATATTTCAAATTTAACTTATTTCCCAAATTACCTCTGGTGGGTATAAGGAACACATTAGAGGCCTTGGCATAAATACCTCCATCTCATATACATTCTCAATTATATAAATGTTGGAATGAACTTTGGATAACCTTATAGAGAAACAGGCTTGTAAAACCAGATTTCATGTTTCCAGAATTACCCCCCACAATGGCTCCTTTAATGTTTTTCATTTTGCTGCTTGCCCCCCGTCCCCCTGATTGGTGGAGGGAACCCACCAGCCAGCCCATTTGCTGCAGCTCACCGGGGAAGTGAAAACTGCAGTTTTAAATATGCTGCGGTTTTCACTTCCTCGGCAATCAGTGGCAATGGCCCAACCAGGGGGGCCCTCT